GGGGTTCTTTGTCATCTTGCACTGCTCCAGTAGACGTTTTCCAAACTTATGATTATACCCTGTGGTCTTCTTCAAGGTCACATTACCCACGGGAACATCAAAATGCTCCAATATCCTCTGAACAAGACAAGCAAATGGAAGTGCACCCTTGTGTTTGGCCTTATACATCATCCAACACACGTAGTGCCTCCAGTTCACCGAAGTACCATGTTGGATAGCCCACATGATGGGAATGTCATGCTCCAACACCCTGGAATGATTGAACGCTCGCGGAAACAAAATGTGGGTGATGACATAGTGTAGTATGCGGGACTCCACAGTAAGCAACCCCACCGTATAGGCAATGTGTTGCCCACGGACTCTCCTCTGCTCCTGCACGGCATCACCGCGTGTATATCCTGGAAGTATGGTCCCGCTGTCTGCGTCATATTCCACAGTCTGCGCAGAATCAAAGTCATACCCCAGTAACTCCAACCATACCGGAGCCGTCATGATGATGTCCACCCCGCAGACCCTAGACCTCAGCTCACCGTGATGGTAGCTGAGATTATGGTAGAAGGCCCGTACATGCAGCTCAGAATATGAACACGACAGTTCAGCCAAGGTCCTAAGATGTGATTCCTCCAACCACCTCACAATGTTAAAACCTTCTTGTTCAAAAAAGGTTGTATCAAGTGATTTGGCCCCACAAATCGGTCGGTTAACAAAGTCACGGACAAAAGATTCATGAACCACCGGGTCATTCTCGAACAAGTATCCGAATGGGAGGTCCACAGCAGCGGGGTCTTCCTCTTGTGGCCTTGACGAAGACAGATGGTCTTGTCGTAGCTTTTGTCGTCTCTCATTTCCAGTGCTAGACGATCTTCTACGGCCAGCCATGGGAACAACTGTACCTACAATGCAAGTGGAAACAAAAATCAATGAACAATAACAATATCAAAAAATTTAAAATTCAATATAAAAAACAAAACCTAATCCTAAAATAAAACAGAAATCAGAAACCCAATCCCTAACCCTAAAACAGAAACCCTAACCCTAACCCTAACCCTACACCCTAAAACAAAACACAAAAACCCATTCCTAACCCTAAACACTACAACCCAACCAAAACAGCAACGTAAACCCTAACCCTAACCCTAACCCTAACATAACCCTAACCCTACGCCTAAGGCACCACATCAACCCTAACCCTCACCCTCACAACACACTTAGCACCCTACCCCTAACCTAAATCCACAAAACCGCAAACATAAATCAAATGCATGAAGAAAACCAAAATAAAAACTAAACTTAAAACCAAATGCAAGTCAGAATACGTTACCTAAATGTCGATTTCGCAAGTGTGAACCAAGGAAGCTTCAATCGCACCTTCAAGGGTTGAGATTCGGACTTGGTTGGAGAGAGGGGACTGAATGCAGCCTTTTAGTCGATTAAGGTTTGAAAATAACCCCCTTTGCGAAATGGGGGGTTTTTTAAAAAACCTGATCTGCGACATTTAGTCGACTAAATAATGTGCTTAGTCGACTAAAAGTGCAAACAATTTAGTCGATTAAGATGAGTTTTTAGTCGACTAAAATTCGCGTTTCATAATTTCTGAGTTTAGCCCATTTAGTCGATTAAAAGTGCAACATAATCGACTAAATGAGGGCAGGATGGTGGATAGTTCTGGGGGAGGGGCAAATTGGTTATTAATTATTTAATTAGGGGCAAAAGGGTCAAAAAACCCTATCTTTCATGTAGTAAAGAAAAAACTCACCTTACTACCCAAACATGATAACATTTACGGCATCCAACGCTCAGGGCCTCATTCGTCTTCTCAAACTTCTGATCAGAACAATGCTTCATTGTGCGTATGACTCTTCCATCACTGCCAGTATAAAGGAACCACTCACCATGGTCATATATATATATATACATGTAAACAAAATCACATAATACTCAAAATCTAATAACTTCATATGTAAAAGATATAAGACATAACTATATAAGTCACATTTCCAATCTAATCCTTTAATTCAATTGAAATCTTAATCCCTTAGCAACCCCACATGAAATTAAGCATTAATCACGATAAATCAAACGACTGCAACTCACACAAGTCTATCCCTAGAGCATGCATAAATTGTTACATTACCCCCTTTCAGAATCAAAAACCCCAATATTCCTATTGCGAGCCCTACCCAAATTATTATCTCCTATTAGGTTGATCAAGTTTAACAGAAATAATATCAATACGCACAGGGTAAAAAAAAATATATTAAAATAAACAAGCAAAAATAATCAATCCAGCGTAAAAAGGGTTCACATAAGGTTTGTGACCCTAACTACAATAAAAGAAAAATTAGCCAGCCATAGACGTGACTGACGTAAAATTATAAAATAGAATTCAAAATAAAATTACTAGGAGGAACGAAGAATGATCCTCTGCTCTTCTCCGTTTTCTGGAATCCTTGTCTGCTCCGTCGTCAAAAAGTATCTTGAAAAAGCCCTCGCAACGTCCTTTTTAATTTTGAAATTTGCCTCCACGCTGAAGTTTGCGTGGGTAGCGCCAACATGTTACACTAAGTTGGTTTCTCGCGCGGGTAGCGCCAAATTGGCGCTGCACCCGCGCCAACTCTCTAGCCTTTGTACTGCTTTGATGAAGTCTGCGCTGCAATAGCGCCAAACTGGCGCGAGTAGCGCCACTTTTCTTTTTCAATTTTTCGCAATTTCCTATTTCTTCTTGCTTTAGCTTGTAAAAATTATGAGAAATAAACTGAAATGGAAAAACTAAATAATAAAAGCAATTAATATACAGAAAATGCTCTTTTATGATTAAAGTCTTATTACTTTTGGCTTGGAAAACATCACATGCCAGAGGCACATCAATGTTTATTCCAATGAAAATAAATTTGCAGGATCATACTCTTGTGACTTTGAAAGTTTGTGGGATGTATATCCTAATGAAAAGAACTTTGTGTGATCATACCCTAATGTCAAAGTTTGTGGGATGTATATCTTGGTGTGGAAATTGAAGTTTACCATCCCCATAGATGACACTAATTATCTGGGGATGATTTTGGGCTGACCAATGAAGCTCCCTTTGATAATAATTTGATGCAGCTTTACCCGTGAGTCTTCAATGAAACAATATGAGAGGTATATTAGCAAGACACTTCAATATTAGATTTTGTGCAAGCAAGTTTAAATATATCATAGAAGATATATGGGAAAAATGTTTATCCTTTTAAATGATACAACTTATATTCTTTCACTCTCACAAAAAGGTGGGACCCACAACTTTATTTTTTTGTCAACTCTCTCTCCTCCTTTATCTATCTCTTTATCTCTCTTAAAATGACACAACTTTACATCTTTAAAATGACACACACTTTTCCCAAGATATATATATATATATATATATATATATATATATATATATATATATATATATGAGAGAATCTAATCTCATATCATAGACCCAACACATGGTGGTTCCCACCATGAGTTAAAAAATAAAAAATAAAAAAATAAAGGGAATAACATCTGTCATTTTAAAGGATATAAGCTTATATCATTTTAGATCATAACCGTTGATTTTCGTCCATCAACGGTTATAATTTATTGGATCAAAATTATTAATAAATTTGGTTGATCCAATAAATTATAACCGTTGATGGACGAAAATCAACGGTTAGGATCTAAAATGATATAAGTCTATATCCTTTAAAAGGATATATCTTTTTCTCATAAATAAAAGGCACGTTTGTCGATGTATTTACAACATAAGATAACTCTCTCTTATTACATGAGAGAATAATTTTTCTATATATATAGAGGCCGGTTATACTTACAAGTTTTTTTGTTTACAAACTACACTAAGTACGACCAGTCATACTTTAACCATATGCAGTATACGACCGGTCGTACTTAGTGTAATTTGTAAAAAAAAATTGTAAACAGATCCTATCCCATATATATATATATATTGTTTTTTGAAGATTGATATTTATAATGGGCATGTCCCCGATTGTTCCTAAGAAGTGGAGTATTGAAGTGTGTGCTTTTGGACTTGGGTTTAATATTTCACTCCGGAACAGAAATCATGTTTTGAGTGGTCACAAACCTGCAATTGATAGGCTTTTGAGTTTAAACAATAATAGAAAATGTGTTGAGATATATAGTCTCACATTGATTGAATGAGTAACTAATATGGCCTTGAACACTCCCACCCCTTCAGCCTCACCGTCCCCTGCTTTAAAAAGTGGAATTAAAATAAAAAGAAAAGCACAAAAAGGGTAAACAAAAAATGGGCCTGTACAATTTCCACGCTTCTAGCTTAAAGCCCTCTTGCGTGAGGGGGCGTGTTGACATATATAGTCTCACATTGATTGGATGAACAACTAATATGACCTTTATAAGATCTTGAACACTCTCATCCCTTGAACTATCTTTTGGAGCGGAGACGTCAAAGTTGTGAAGCGGGGATACTTTGCACTTGGATGTCTATCCATAGCTCTGTCGTAGAAATTCCTGAAATGTGATACACAACACAACGCACGCCTCCAAATCCTTACTTTCTGACTACACCGACCGTCTGTTTCTGTTTCTATTTCTAGGAGGTAAAGAAAACCTACGAAATAGAATTTCCTAATGTAATATTTAATTTGAATTGTCCTTGTTTTTAAAATTTATAATTCTATGTCTAATTTGTAATATTGTCGTAGTCGTATGTTTTAATCTTATTTTTTCTTGTTTGAATGTCATGGCCGCGTTCTGCATCTATCCAATTAATTTCAATAGAGTTTGTTGACTTTTCTGTCTGACTTGACTAACTATTACGCTAAGAAAGTTGACTTTAGAATAATGATATTAATGCCAGTGCTGGCTGGCAATTTCCTCCGAAGGTATATGTCTCTTTCTCCCCGTTACCCATGTTGGACTGAGTCCGTGTATGACTATCTATCTATACTAAAATAATCATTCTTCCATTAAAGTTTCACCTTTTACCGTGTCATATACATATACTACCAAAGAATGAGTGGAAAACGAAGAAAGCTAAAATCAATTATTGAAGAGAGAAAAAATAAATTAAAAAAGCAAAAGAGAAAAGAGAAAGAAGACCAAAGTGAGGGGTTGAAGGACAATGGATTGATTGTAGTTGAGCTTGAAAGTTGAAACACAAGGACAAGGCTCTTCTCAACTTCTTCTGCATACAAGTTTCAAATGGGAATTTGCTTTGGTTCTCCACTGCACAACGAAAATCCAACCCAAACCCCAACCACAACCGGTAGCCTTAGTACAACAGGTACCATTTAGTAACTTGTTTTATGCTTGTTGGGTTCAATTTTGCAAGATTCAGTTGATTTCTCATAGATTTCATTTCAATTCCAGAAAGATAATATGTTATTGGAGTTTCTTCAACATCCGTGATAATTGAAGTATATAATCGATGTTGTATTGCTATAATATAATCTTTTGACTTATTCTTCTTCCCTCTCTTACTATGTAGCTACACATGCTACATCCCAGACTACTAGCAGCAGCTATGCTACTACTTCTGGAAGTGTGAACAGCTCCACAAATAGCAAGTTCTCGGTGTCAAGTGGTGATGAACCTTTTCCGCATGGCCAGATCTTACCCACCTCAAATTTGAGGATCTTCACTTTTGCGGAGTTAAAAGTTGCAACTAGGAATTTCAGACCTGATACTGTACTTGGGGAGGGAGGTTTTGGAAAAGTCTTCAAGGGTTGGCTTGAAGAGAAGATAACTTCAAAGAATGGAAGTGGAACAGTCATTGCTGTAAAAAAGTTGAACTCAGAAAGCTTACAAGGAATTGAGGAGTGGAAGGTAACCCTACTAGGTTTAGTGAGCACAATTGGAGCGGTTTCACTTCAAACCTTTTATATCCCATTTGGGTGTTAAACTTAGCCGTTAATAATGATCTAACTGTCTAAATTTTAATGGGAAGAGTAAATGATTACAAATAGGCACTTGTCGTTAATAGTAGTGGAGATGCTGATTTGAGGGAATTGTTGAATAGTGTGTAGCTGGAGCTTCATCACTTGTAAATTATGTAATTTGTGTCTGGGATTGTAATAAGAGTGAGGATACTTGTTTTATTATAAAAATGAAGGCATTGATAAGTGTCCCCCCCTCTCCTCTTTTGTTTTGTTACTTGTTTTTATCAAACTGTTTAATCATAGGCTTATAAATTTGCTGATACTTAATGGTTCATTCATGTGGTGCAGTCAGAAGTAAATTTTCTTGGACGCCTTTCTCATCCTAACCTTGTTAAGCTGTTGGGATACTGTTTGGAGGAAACAGAGCTTCTTCTTGTCTATGAATTCATGCAAAAGGGAAGTTTGGAAAATCATCTATTTGGAAGTGAGTGCTCAGTTAAATTCAATATCTCTGTCTTGACATTAATCAGTTAAATTCAACATGAAATAATCAGCTGGTCAACCAAAAGTTACATTAATTTAATTGTACAGGAGGCTCAGCTGTTCAACCACTTCCTTGGGACATCAGGCTTAAGATTCTAATTGGAGCAGCTCGTGGCCTTGCATTTTTGCATGCATCCGAGAAAGTAATTTACAGAGACTTCAAGGCCTCCAATATATTGCTTGATGGGGTGAGTAATTCTATCACACACACACTCACAAAACTTCTTAATAAGCATACAAAAAATATTTTTTGCTGTTGCATTATATTATCCTATTATCATGATAATAAAATGAACGTTTCACCTATTTTCTATCATCTATATCAGAAATTATTCTAGCTTAGAATGTATTAATGGGTGCACAACTTAAATTTTCATTAAATTATTTTATGTTACAGTCCTATAATGCAAAGATATCAGACTTTGGCTTGGCCAAACTGGGTCCTTCCGCTAGTCAATCTCATGTGACAACAAGGGTGATGGGCACATTTGGTTATGCAGCCCCTGAATATATGGCCACAGGTAATGTCACAGTGTTCTTTAAAAATTACAGTACAGCCTTGACACTGTTTGGATTTTTAAAAATGGTACAACCTTGGCACTGGATAGGTTTATTTTCTGGCTCCGCCGATGTCTGTAAGATTATAATTATAAGCTTAAATTGATTATTATATAGTAGTAGTACTGCACCTTGACATCTTGGTTGGTTTATTATACAGGGCATTTATATGTAAAGAGTGACGTATATGCTTATGGAGTTGTTTTGGTTGAGATGCTAACAGCACTACGAGCAATTGACACAAACCGTCCAAGTGGGCAACATAATCTAACGGAATGGGTCAAACCATACTTACATGATAGAAGAAAATTGAAGAGCATTATGGATTCTCGCTTTGAAGGAAACTATCCATCCAAAGCTGCATTTCGTATAGCTCAGCTTGCTTTAAGATGTCTTGAAGCTGAGCCCAAACATCGACCAGCAATGAAGGAAGTTTTGGAGAACTTGGAGCGATTTCAAGCTGCCAATGAGAAACCTAAGGAACCTAAATTCCGTTCTGCTCATGCCCTTGCTACCCGTCAAGGTCACCAAGCTGTGCACCATCGTTCTCCACTGAATGAATAAGTGAGAGGCCATTGGTTGTGTTATTTGCCTCTCCATTGAAGAGTTTACTAGTTGTTCATTTTGTATTTATTGGATTCTAAGTAGCAAAGAGATTTGTACTGGTAAATCGTTTATTATTTTGTCAGTGCGGTATAGTATATATGTTATCATTTGTGTAGCTTCACTGACTTGTGGTTTTCCTGAACAAGTTGAGAGGTCTCTAGTTCAACTTGTTATAGGAGGGACTTAATTTATTACTTTATTACTTCCTATTGTAGGAAAATCTTGTGGGGGGAAATGAGATATGAATGTGTTGTGACCTCGAGTGATTCTAGAACAGCAGCTGTTCTTAATAAAAGAAAGTAGGTGCATTTAAAATTCACTTTCGGAAAATCTTCTTGTTTAATGATGTTTTCCATGTCCAGATATTCGTTACAATTTGGTGTTTGTATCATCTATATTGGGCAAGGTGGGTGTTAAACTTATTTCTCTAATCCGATAAAGTTTTACTCCTTAAATTTGGGATTTTAGGGTAAATGGTGCAAGAGAAAATTGCGTGGTGATTAATTATTAAAGAACTTCAAGAGTGAACAAAGTAATGGATTGAACAAAGATGATCATACAAAACAGATACTAAACATGCATAATTCCAAGAATAAAATCTGAGTACAATGTTAGATATTGTATTTTTACAATAATTTATTTTTTCCATGGTGCTCAAGAATGGATGATAATTATTTTTTGAAAATGGATTCTCTAATGTGTAATTTAACATGATCAACGGCGATAACTGTGTAACTTCCTATCCTTATATTTTCTCTCTCCTTCTTTATCACCATTAACTCATCCATATATGATTATGATTGTTCCACATGACATGGTCATGTTAATTAGCATATGAGAGGATCCACTCCCTTATTCTTTTGGATAAAACAAATTATCTTTGTTTATTGACAACAATCTTTGTCTGAACAAAAGCACAAAATGAATGTATAACCAACACAAGCAAAACATGAAACCATTTATTTTGGGTGAGGGAATGAAATAAAAAAATATCGTTTTTTTCTTCATATTTATAAAAGAAATATAATCTCTCATATTATATGAGACAAAATTTCATACACACATAAAAAAGTCGATGAAATCCATTTTTCTTCTTCTCTTTAATAAGTCTCACCCACTTTTGTATATCACATAAGACAATTTTATCTACTGCAACATTAAATATTGAGATAGAATCCTTTGACACTGGTGTTAAACTTTAAAATTTGACATCAAATTATAACCGTTGATTTTCGCCAATCAATGATTAATATTTATTGTGAATTAATAATTAATTAAAAAATTTAATTTCTAAAAAATAATAATCGTTGATTGACAAAAATTAATAATTAAGATTTAATTCAAAATTTAACATCAAAGGATCCCGCCCCTTAAACATTATATTCTCATTTATAAATCATAATTATTTAGGTGGTGTTTGGATGGGGTCTTTTCCAAATTTTCCTAGGCAAGTGAGAGAAGGATTCTAGGATAGAAATGTTTGGTTGAAAAGATTCACACAAAAAGCTGGTGATCCAAAATGCATAGGTTTCTGAATTTAAATGGAAAATGATAGGTTTCGGTACTGTTTAAAAAGCGTTTTCGTCCGTGGGTTTTTGTAAAACAACGGCTGTCCACTGTCTGAATCATTTTTGAATAACCAATATACCCTTTCAAAATGCAACAGAGCTGTAAATGAATGATCAAACCATATTGCCTTTCAAACTTCACACCGATGGAAAAATTAAATATAATCAGAATTAGCCCAGAAAGATCAAACCCAAGTATAGAAACTCAAAACCAGGAGTAAAAATTCAAGCTTTTTCCTAATAGAAAGGGATAGTACAGATATTCAATAACCCGTTTTGCATTCTACTATCTGCATAAAATGAGTACCTCAACCGATATTCTTCCAGAAATGCTAACGGGGTAGTTTCTATAAAAGGGCACAATCCAGAACACACAATAAAATTCCAAATTCAACCAAAAAAAGAGGAAAAAAAGAGAAAGAGGAAATCTGAAATAAGAATCACATAAGTGACCTTGGATAGATTGAAGACCAATAAGCAAAACTGAAACCAAGAAGAAATCCTCAAAGAATGAAAAGCTGAAGCAAACAAATATTAAGTTCTTTCTAAAGCAACAGAGATAATACGATGCAATATTTTTCCCCCTTTCGTTTTTATGGTCGTTGGAAAGAGTCAAATATACATTTTTGTAATTTGACAGCTGTGGGATTTTTTATAATTTAAAATCAGGGTTATTTTAGTAATTTAAGATTGTTTTCCCATCTATATCTCACCTCCAACCAAACATACATTTCCTAAAATTTACCTAATTTTTCCAGTAAAGTTTTTCTCCATCAAACAACTTTTTTTAACATTTTTCTATCTATCTCACTTTATCTAACTTTCTTACCATTTCCCTATCAATTCTATTTCCCTAGTATTCAAAAAATATCTCCTCAACCAAACGCCCCCTTAGTGGCGATTCGGTGAACCACAAGTGGCTTATGGAAAAACACCTCCGAAAAATCGTTAGTGGCATTCTTGAAATTAATTATAAATCCAGGGGTGTCATGGGCAAAATGTCCATTGTGAAACTTTTTCCACGTACCCACTACAATATTCTATCTTTTTCTCCGGCTTCACATTCAATTATTTATTCATGACACTTGAATTATATACAACAATTTTAACAATTTTTTTTTTGCTGAATGTTACAGAAATTATAAATGAAAATTCATTTGATCAATTTGTTGACTTATAGTTTGATAGATTTGGACACCTGAACTTCCCTTGAAGAAAATGAAAGAATTAGAAATTCTACGTAATATATTAATGGGTTTGTTTTTCTCACGTTATTTTAGATAACTTTATCCAATGTTCATCAAAACGACGTCGTTTTGGGACGGAAATCATGGTATTTTTGTAATTTTAATTTATTTCAGGGTTATAATAGTCTTTATCACTCTAATTTTTTAATTTTTCAATCCCAAAACGACGTCGTTTCGATGAACATTAGATAAAATTATCTAAAGTAACATCAGAAACTTTTTTTCCCTATATTAATAACCAATAATGAAAAATGCTGAATATGTGTAAAAGCTTATACCAGGACTAGGACGAGGTATGTAAAACTGATCTTTTAGGCCTAATACAATGACTAGAGAAGACAAAAAGGTTTTACGTCATTTTCATAGACAATTTCTCAATATATTTATTAAACATAAAATAAACTTAAAAAAATAAATATATTTATCATATTTCATGAAACAAATTATCTCATACAACAAATAAATAAATGAAATCTACTAAAAAAAGATCTGCCTTGAACGAGACAATTGTCTTAGGTAACATAAAAAATATATTTTTTCATTAAAGAATGTAAAACTAAACTAAACATGTTTTATAGGTAGATTAATGTGATGTATAAGTTGTAAAAACAAATATTTCCTAAAAAATAAAGCTAAACCAAACGTGTTTAATGGTTAGATTAAGGGTTTTATTAGTGTTATGTAACGTGATGTAAATGTTGTTTCCAACTCTCACATCAAGAGAGAGAAAGTGAAATGATGAAAGAGAAAGAAAAATATGTGGATCCCACCTCTTTAATGTGTATGTAGGAAAATGAAGTTATATTATGTTAAATGATAAACATAAAACACTTAGATTAATGTGATATATAAATTCTAACAAAATTCAATTTAATTTAGGAGGGATTATTAGAATTACCATTAAAAATCTTACTTACCCAAAAAATAAAAATAAAAAATTCTTTGGCATAGAAGAATTCGCCTAGTAAGGTTTATATTCGGTATCTGAACCTCGGGGTTGCGTTTTGAGCAAGACAATGAGGCAAGCATTGCAATAGCATGAAGCAACCTTAGCAGCAGTATTAGTATCTGTATCTGCGCTGCTTCAACAATCTACTTCTAAGCTTCACTGAACGGAAAGAGGAAAAAGATGAGTATCATCATTTCTGTTGCTTTACTATTCCAGGCAAGAACTGATTCAATCGATCTTCTCTCCTTCAATGTCATCGATCAATTAGTTGACTTGAACTTGAACATTTCTCATATTCTCATCTCAACTACTATGTAGGTATTTCTACTCTCTTCGCCTTCGATCACTGCCACTGCTGCCTCACAACATGAAGCATCTAGGTTAGGCTACGTTTTGTGACGATGATGGTTCTTTCCAAATCACTAATTTTATGTATAAATTATTTCTCTTCATTCGAACAAGTTAGAATGCTTTTTCTTTCTGTTTAGGGCTAAGCATTCTGAAGAATACTGCGCCATGTATGATATATGTGGTCAACGTAGTGATGGCAAAGTTCTCAATTGTCCGTATGGTTCCCCTTCTGTAAAGGTAAATCATGTTTTATTCACTTAATTCAACGTGAGTATCTTGTTATAGCTAAGCTTATTTTACTTTTTGAGTTTTAATTTAAACTAGTATATGCTGCTTTGCTTTTTCAATTTCAGCCTAATGACCTACTATCTGCCAAAATTCAAAGTTTGTGTCCCTCCATTACCGGAAATGTTTGTTGTACGGAGGATCAGTTTGACACATTAAGAGTACAGGTTCAACAGGTAAATTATCTTTCTATGTGTCTTCAGGTCTCGTATTTTTCCTCTTCATTTAAATTTTAAGGCTATAACCAACCTCCTTGTTTTTATTTAAGCTTCGGATTGTGTCTGGGTAATTCATTTGTCCTGATTAAAAGTGCGAAATTCATGAGATGCGTGTGCCGAATGATATTGGTTGTTGTGGGTTGCATACTTGCATTAGCTTGCTCTTAATTAAATATAAGGTTTAGTGTTGTTCATTGAAGCTCTCTCAAAGGTTGATATTTTTGTTTGGACAGCGATACATGATAGGATTAGTAGTAGTAATGATCTGTTGCAGGTGCTTAGCCTTAAACCACTTAATGCTTTGTCTCCGGATATTTGTGGTATGTGTTATAAGAGTTCAGAAACTGCTGATCATCTTTCTTTTATTTATTTATATTGTCAGTTTGCTAGGCATTCGTGGTTAATTGTTTGACAAGCGTTACATATGTCCTCCAGAAATAATTTTTTTAATATACCTCTTTGTGAGGCTTTGAAAGAAGAAAGGAGGCTTAGGTGTGGTGAAGTTTTGCTCTCTTTATAGAAATGTAGTGTTTTGTTATAGCTAAATGCCAGATTTTCAGCCACTGCTCTTTATCTGCAAATCTTGTTTTGGGTAGGATTCTTTTTGATGCATCCTTGTGACTTTGTTCACATGATTTTTTTGAAAGGGGTTTTTCATTGCACTTTTAGTGGGATTGGAGAG